GGGAAGGGAACAATAGTAGCGACCGGGATGGCACATTGGGACTGCTGATATGGCAGGGGACGTTGCCTTTACAGAAAGGCAACAACGAATGTTGCCCTCCGAAGGCGAGAAGTTGTTCACCCACATTTAGGGTGCCAAACATGCCTTTTCGATTTACAGTGCGGACTTAGGGCCTGGGGCGATGTTTGTTCTCTCCATGACGAGTCTGTCAGCGGGAGGGAACACGATCCGCGCTGGATCCTTGGACACGATACCTGGCGCGCGCTTGCAGGCACGCACGCCCGCGCGCGCGCGCGCACACACACACACACACACACACACACATACACACACACACACACGAGCGCGCGTAAACACAGCCTCCTCCAGTCAGCGGGAGCGCGTGGGACAGGGGCGCCAGTAAGGCGATAGAAGCATTGCAAGCGTGCTCGAAATGTCTTAACAATTCTTCCTCGCGGTACGCGGGGCGGGCAGACAGAACGACATGGAAGTCGGTTTGAGGGTTTGTCCATACACGTGCCTAACCATCCCCACACGCCCCTCTCCCCCGAAAAAAAGAAACAAGACCGTTTTAAGCTCGATGCTTCTCCGCACAATTAAGAAGCGTGATTTCGTTTTGATCTCTCCCGCGCTCGCTATGCTCACGCTCGTGCGTGCCTCCTCTGTCTTGTCTCGCGCGCGATGCTCTCGGCTCACGCCCCCCGGGCTCTGCACTGAGGCCATCGCTGCGCTCGGCCGCCGCGCCCCGCTAAGCGCAGCTCCCCGTGAGCGCGCTGCGCCCGCCACGCCCACCGTGTATATTTCCGTCCCATTCACGGTACGCGGTTCCCTTCTCTCGCCCGTTCTGTTAAATGTGTGTACACGTGTAAGCACGCGAGCACGCGCGCTACTGGAGCGACGAGTGCACGTGCGCGCCGGAGCGCACTCAACTCTGGGGGGCTGCTGCATACACGAGAGGGAGTCAGAGAGAGAAGGAGAGAGAGAGAGAGAGAGAGAGAGAGAGGGGCAGAGGGATGGAGACAGGAGGGAGAGAGAGATAGAGAAGAGGAGAAGGGGGAGAAGAAGACGGAAAGAGCAGGAAGAAAGTGCAGGGGAAGCGGGAGGGTTAGTGGGGGGGGGGAGAAAGGAACGGAAATAGAAAAGTGCATCGTTCCTGCCTTAGAAACAGGGAGGGACTTGGCTTTCAGGGCACGAATAGGGCGGGTGCGGACGGGGCGTGCCGGGAGGCGTGTGTGGGTGCGGGGCGCGTGGGGGCGGGGGCGCCCTGCTGCTCCGGGAAGCTGTCAGAGTCCTGCAGGCGGGACAGCTTGACCTAGAATGAGGAGGGGGGATAGTCGGGATTGGCGGCAGCATCTCGAGATACCCACATCCGCTCAGCACCGCTCGCTGCTGAGTGGGTCCAGGAGGGGTTGGGGCACGGGGGCGGGGCGGGATGGGTCTAATGGGCGATGCGTGCTGCTGGATTACATCATCATAACTCTGGCTGAAGTGGGGACTGGAATCACGAGCCCAGCTGAACAACCAACAACAACCGCTGTGCGTGTGTCTGTCGCCTCGGTGACGGAGAGCGCCCTGCGAGTAGGCAACCCTCCCGCACGGGTGTGAAGCCGTGTTGCCTACCGCCCGACTGCAAGGCGCGCCCAGCGCAGATAGCGCGGAGCGGGCGGGAGCGGGAGCGGAGCGGGCGGGCGGGCGGCTCCGGAGGAGGGGAGAGGGAGAGGGCGAAGCGGAGGATAGGCGCTGACGGAACTGCAATCGGAGCCAGGCCGTGTGAGATGGAGGAGTTTGGAACCAAGTTGGCAGCGGAGGGTGGGGCGCGGCCCCCGGGGCGGTGCGGCGCGACGCGCCCAAGGACGCGGCGCGGCGACGCCCCGATAGACGCCACCGCACCCTGGATCTCCCCCCGGGCGTGGCGGCGCGGCGCGGCGGGGCGGAGCAGGCCAGTTCCGTGGCGCCGGCGCCCGGCCCATATAACCAGCCCCAGCCCGGCGGCGCCGCGGCGCCTGTGAGAGGCCCGCCCTCGCCCCGCCCTCGCCAAGCGGGTCAGGTGGACGAACCCGGCCCGCGCCCATGGAACTACGCCGTCGTCGCAGAGGTAAGGGGTAGGGGTGCCCAGGGCCCGGTGGCTCGAGGCGCACCGCACCCGGCCGCGAACAACCCCGAGCCTCTGCTCGGCCGCAGGGGTAGCAGTCCGCCAGTCTCTCCTCCTCCCCCTCCTCCCTCGACAGCCCTGAGGCCTCGCGGCTCATCGTCTGGCGCCGGCCGCGCCTCACAGCACATGGAGTCGGCCGGGCCAGGGCCACCGCCGCGCCGGTGCCGGTAGTAAAACAGGCAGTGCTTGTCGGGCCGCGGGGGCCGCGGGGGGCTCCGCCAAGGCCACCGATCACTCCGACCGACTGATCCGATATCGCGCCGGCCGCTCTGCCACTGACGGCGCCAGATTTAGGGACGCCGCCGTCTCTCGTTTCCTCCGCGCCGGCGCGCATAAGCAGCGGATAAAGTCGTCGCGGCGCTGCTCGGCAGAGAGAGGGGCACCCTCTCCCCGCTCTCCCCCTCCTCTGCGCGCAGTTTTTTAAAATTTGCATGCCGGTTGGCAAAGTTTTCCAGAGCCCATCTCCTCCGTCGCAGCCCCTGATGCTCTTATCAGCTCCCCCTCCTCGGCCCCCCACCCCCACCCGCGCCCTTACCCCCTCTGCTCCGGGGGGAGCATAAAATAAAACGACTACCGGCGCGCCATTGGCCGGACCGCGAGGAGAGGGGGGAAGAGGGGATGTTCTGACGCCCAGCATGTATAGAGAATAAAGTCTACGCATACGCCGAGCCATGCAGAAAAAGCAGAGAAAGTGTCGAGCAGGTTTGCTAATTATTATTTTTTCTCAGTCGAAGTTTATTAGGTTTGCGGATGCGAGTGTGCCGTTTAGTTTCAGAAAGGTGCCATAGGTGCTGATGGGGAGATGACACTGTGGTGGCCAATGGAGGCGAGGTAGGGTGGAGGGCAAGTTAGGATGTCGTGAGGACGAGGAGGAATAAGCACAGGCGCCGGCGAGCGCTGTCACCCTGCAAAAGTGCAGAGGTGCGGCGCAGCGCGCTCGACGCATCCGTGTGGATCTTTACAAGCAAAACAATGCATTGCAAAGACTTCATGTCTATTTCAACATAAGTACACAAGAAATCAAACAAATAATAAACGCCAACAAAATGTCGAGTCGGTACAAAAATAAATGAAATCAGAGTTAAATAAAGTACAGACAAAACAAATTAGGAGTAAGAAATAATAAAATTGCGAGAAGACGAGACAAAGCTTATTACGGTAACTGCAGTGCGTGAAAGGTAAAAGTGAAGACACCTTTACTGCTTATCGATATTTATTATGTTATTTAGTAGGCGGTGGACGGTGCAGACAGACGTACTCAGCAGGCCAAAGCTCGGTCTCTCGGTGGCACCACACCCTCAGCCCCCGCTCTGCGGCAGGGAGTGCCACCCCGGTGCCACCCGCTCACCTTCTCGGCGACGCGTTCCGGGACGCTGGCGGCCGCGGCCGCTTGGGCAGCGTGCTTGGAGTGAGCCTGCTGTTGTTGCTGCTGCAGCTGCTGCTGCTCCTTCGCCATCTTCTGCGCAATCTTCTCCTTTTCCTTTTCATGTCCGTGCCCCTTGTGGGGGGGAGGGTGCGGGTGCGGAGGGTGGCCGGCGTGGGGTGTGCGCGACATGTCCGCCAGGGACGGCTGCAGCGAGGTGACAAACTGCGCCATGGCGGTGGACGGGCGGCTGCCGCGGCTGCACACAGGTCACGCGGCCGCACTAGTGCAGCACGCGGCAGGAGGGCACGCGGGAGGCGCGCGACGGGCGTCGAGGGCGCGCTCAGGCCGCGCCGCGCCTCGCCCAGCACACTCACGGCAGGCAGGGGCTGCAGGAGGAGCTGGCGAGAGCGACGCGGTGCGTCTGGCTGGGGCGGGGCCACGGGCTATGGGGCTGGCTGCGCAAAGGGGCCGGGCGGGGG